CCATCTGATTCCAGGATTAAAAATTATAGCATCCCTCAGAAAAGTAACTTGAGTCAGTCCTGAGTTGCATGAATGCAGAGTAGCCTGCTGCATGAAGGTTTTCTGACTCGCAAGGCCAGGCCTTGAGAGTGGATTCTGAATGTTGCTCAGGTAGCAGGCATTCTGTTTACGTTGTTGTGTATAATGGTTAGCGTGCTCATGAGCTCATTGTCCTGGGGAAACCTGTACAGTACCTGTGTGAGCAGGGCAGGCTGGCACTAAGCCATGCGTGGGTTTGGTGTGGGCTAAGGGGAAGGGGGCATTTAACAGCGGCTGGTGGGGCAGAGAGGAGTGAACCGTGCCCCATGTCCTTTGGGTGTCGCAGCTGGAGATGGGAGTGCGGATGCCAGCCCTGGGGGAGGGCATGGGCTGAGGTGCCCAAGGGGTGTCTGTCTCAAGCATTGACCAAAGCACATGGGGGTGTGTCTGGCAAAAGCGAGTAAGGAAGACCATACCCCGTGTCCGTCGGCATAGGTGGGTTTGCCTGTGGGTGTTCTCAGCTTTCACAGCGGTTGAGCATGCGGAGATGTATGTCAGTTTTTGCAGTTGTGTCTGCTCCTGGTGCAGGATGCCGTGTGGTGGGTGGGGAGGCAGGTTTCTCCTGTGCCATCCACCTTCATCTGCACCTCAGAAGAGATTCTCATGACATGCGGGTCATACTTACAAGGTTGTGTCAGTCTTCAGCTACACTGATGCTTGGAGGTGGGACATAGGATAAATGGGCACAGCAGGGCCAGAACAAGTTTGGTACCCTGCAGAGTCACACCTGAAGACCACAGCAGGGCATCTTCTTTAGGAACAGACATGATCGTAAGCTTTTTTTCCCCAGTCTGTAGTCACTGCAGATTAGCTATTTTCTCTAAAGCTTACAGGCAAATAATGAAAAGACTTTAATCTGACATCTGAAAGTTTTTTTTTTTTAAAAGCCAGAAAGCATCTCATTTCATTGGAGGGGAAATTTGAGACTCAGTTACTTTGTTTTAAAAGTTCCTGAGCTGGCTGTTCAGGCAGGAGAAATATTGGCCCTTGTTTATCGTTGCTCCTGAACAACTAGCACAGTCTTTTCTGCCCATTTTACACCTTGCCCAGACCTGAAGGGGTTACTTTTAAAAATGAATGACTAAATTTATTCGTCATGGACAAATGATGACAGCTGTTGAGATGCTCCTGTTAGCGCTTCCCAGGGGATAAAGTCAGGCTGGTTCCTAGTGCAAGCCAGCCCAGCCAGGCAGACTCAGCTCGTCTTCATCCCGGATTATTTGTCCCGGGTTCCCCTTGCTAGCAGGGAATTTCCTCCCTAGAAGTGAACCGAAGTTTCCTGGGCTGAAGTGGGTGTTGATGAGAATGCTGCAGAGGCACGGTCGTAGCGAGAGGACTGAAGCCGTAGCCGTTTCAATCCACGTGTGAAGACAGCATGCTTAATGAATACGAGGGGCTATGATTGATTATGTTCTGGACTGAAAGCCGCGGCGCTCTGTGAAGCACTGTTACATCTGGGCACGCTATGGAAAATATGAAGGAATGTTGAGGAAGCTTATTTGCAGAAGGATATGTACTTGTAAGCGAATCTTTTTTTCTTCTTAAATAACGTAAAGGCATTGGAAAAACATAAAGCAAATTGTGTTGTGTGTGTCTCTAAGACAGCGGAGTGGCGAGGAGACAAAGGCCTCTTATAAGGGCACGTCTCTGGCCGAGAATGCTATATAAATGAGCACAGAGGGGGTCTGGGGATGGGAGCACATCAGTGGCTATTTAATATTAGAATGTGGCGCCGATTCCGCTTCGGTGCACCTCTGCTGGAGTCAGGAGAGTTACTACCATGCTGAATTTACCACCTCCCGATTTGCAGATAGGCTGCAAAAAATACGATCCCAGTTCAAATGAATATTGGGAACAGGAGTCAAGGAATGGGGAAAAAAAAGCTTTTTATTGATAACGTACATTAGCTTGTTTTTTCTCTTATTTTCTGTACTTCCACGTGCAGGTTTCTTTCTGTTCTTTGTTTCTCCTTCTGTCCTGCACACGTGCTGCTGGAAGATTTGATGTGCCGTTCTGAATGTGGCGCTGTCATTCGGCACTGCTCGGCTGAGAAAATGCTGTGGGGTTATTGAAGGGTTATTCTGATTTGATAAATATGTAATGCTTAGTTTGTAGACATAATGAACAGGAGGATGTGACTGTAATCCCGACATCCCCAAAACTGGGCTGGCTGGTTGGTTTTATGGAGTGGGGTGGTTGTTTTTTTTTAAGCTAATGCTTAGAAAAGCCTGTTTTAAATGAAATGATAGTTTATTTAATTGCTAAAATGGTACAGAAGTGTGAGTGATCTTTTCAATATCTGTTTTTCAAGATTTTTATTTATTATATGAAATAGCAAACCACACCCACTTCTCCTTTCAGAGGGGTGAGGCTTTAAAAATGCAGATGCAAGAGGAAGTGAGTTAACTAAGACTGCATCTAGATGGCCTGAAATGCAGCTGATGGAGAATTTTATTACCAGATGAGAGTGGTTTTGAAGTAGTAAAGTATCTTTTGAGTATGTCTGACTTTCTCCTGACTGGTAATATATATGACAAATAATCATTTGGTTAATATTTATATACGAGCGTTTGAAATAAATGCAATTGGGGCAAATTTTGTTCAGAGTGGGTTGGTTTTTTTTTTTTTTCCTTCTGTTCAGGGTCTGTGCAAGACTTTCTGCATCACTTAAACCCCTTCCTGGAGGCTTCAGAGATTACGCATTTTGCAGAGTTGTTTGATCTGCCATGGCTTTCTGTGCAACTCTCACCAAATTATATTTTTGAAATAATTCCTGTTTGAACTAGACTGTATCTTTCAGGGATCCAAAAAAAAAAAAAAAGAATCAATCTTGCTTTTTAGGAACTGCTTGAGGTAAAATTTGCTGGGTGACACATCTTGTAACCTGGCAGGGAGTCAGTCCTTTGCTTATTGCAAAAAATGGAGAGGAGGGGTGGGAAAGGGAGGGGAAAAAAGGTAAGTCAGAATTTAATTTGGCTTTAACCTCCAGCCAGTGGCCTTGTTGTAATTTTTCTATTGGGCGAGAAACAATAATAATAAATCATGCTGGAAAAGTGTATTAATAAATCTTGAGTTGCTGTGTTAACACAGAACATTATCAAGCAACTTGTTAAGAATCTGGCCAGGTTAAACACTTCCCTGCAGTGAATTTTCATTTAATTTAATTAAAAACATATTTTCCAATCCTTTAATCATTCTCATGGTTCTTCCCTGAGCTCTTTTCAAATTATTTTTGAATTACATATGTCAGAACATGACCAGTGTCAACAGGGAGGTAGCACGGGTTCCATGGCTGCCTTAGGGCATTGAGTTAGTGAGCCCACATCCTAAATGTGGCTGACGTTCTCCTCCATAGCTGTGACCCTATGTTTCTTGATGTTAATGTTCATATGTTCACTTTTGTCTAGCTTATTTTGGCCTGAACAACAGTCTAAGTACCTGTTGTTGTATCACCTCTGTCCTTTAGATGTTACTTTTCCCCTAGCCCATACGCACATTCCAAGACTTCTTGAATATCAAAATTAAGAGATGTCCTCGGCTGCCTTCATTAGCTTTGTTGGATAGAATCATGGAACCGTTTAGGCTGGAAAAACCCTTTAAGATCAAGTCCAACCACAAACCTGTGCTGCTGTCTGTCTGTCTGTCACTTCAGTGTAGTGCTATCACTGGGGCATGGCATCATGTGCTGTCAGTGGAGTATGGAATCACATGCGTGGGCGCATGTCGGAAATGTGTTGTTTAGGTTTTTAGATGATTTGTGACAGTTCTGTGCCCAGCTGCTGTTGAGCCAATATCACCTTGGGCAGGGGAAACTCCTTAAGGCTGAGGACAACACAGGCTTTTCTTTCTGTTCTTTGCCTCCCCTAAAATATGTCTACACTGTTATCAGTTTATTTTCTTATTTTCAGAAAGCTCAACCTGTATTGAATTTCACTCATTAGTGTCTAACTAGGAGCCTGTGTTTGTTACTAGATATTCCCCGGTGCTTTCCTGACTAGGGATGGATTAAAGCACCCGCTTGAGTTTTTGCCAAGTGGAATTTCCAGGGGCCATGTTCCTGAAACGGTGGAGAGTTGGTGTGTACCTTGGAGTGTTGGAGAGTGATGGACATGAAGCAGGTCTCAAATCTTGAGTGAAGTGTGGACAAGTGAAGTGAAGGGGACTGGAGGGGATTTTCTGTCCTCAGTAGATAATGTGTGCCATCTGTGTCAGCTGTCCAAACACTTCGTCACCCTTCAACCTAAGGCTGGTTTTTAAAGTGGGTTAGCTAGTCTCTGTAAAACTGCAATATAAGCACTCCTTTGGAACTGAAGTGACCTTCACTGAGAATCAAAGGGACTGTAATTCATTTTAAGTTAATTTATGTTCACGTTTGGAGGTAGAGGCTGCAGTTCCCTTTGACGTACATAAAGGATTCGGTAAGTTTTAATACACCTATGGTTTTTATGAATTTGAGGTAACTTTCTATTTCCTTGTAAAGAGTCTCTGGGAATGAATAAAAAAGTTAAAGTGGATTTGTAGCTCTGTGGTTTCTCAGCAGCACGGGTGTTGCCATGCGATCTTTCCTGATCTACCCTGTTGCATCTCGATCTGGAGCAGGCAGTTAGCAGGACCTTACAGGGCATTGTAACATCCCCGAGTATTGTCTGTGGCTTGCATCTTTCTGCTGTAGACTTATTCTTTTTATCTGAAAAAGCGTTTATTCTTTGTCTCTGAATGCATTCATTGACAGGGTTATAACATAGTGGCTGCAATAGGGAAGGGTTGGGCTTGGTGGTCATTCCTGAATAACCAGATTTCTAGCATGGAGACACTGCTGAGATGAGAGTTGGCTGAGCAGACCTGAACATGCAGCATGTTTGCCATTGCGTGGGCATGTTCCTTGGGATGTCCCTGAAGCTGGGTGTGCTTTTCTTTGGCAGATAAAATCTTTGATGATGAAGACTCCGTGGATGGGAACAGACCTTCCTCAGCTAGCTCCTCTACATCTTCAAAGGCCCCTGCAAACTCACGCAGAGTTGGGATGGGAACGACGCGCAGGCTTGGGACTGCACCTCTGGGCTCCAAGTCTTCCAGTAAGCCCATACATATATGAATTGACCTTTTTGTGAAGTATCTCTAGTGTCCATGCTTGGGCTTATTGCGAGAACTTCCAGACTGGTCCCCAGGATCCAGTAACGAATTTTCCCCGGTGAAATCATTACTTGTACAATATCTATCTGCATGCCATGACCGAACCTTGGTAGGATGAATCTCCAAGCAGTCCCCACATCCCAGTAGTCTGTTTTATGTTTGTGGAAGGTAGGACTTGTGCGGTTGTGCACTGAGGGCTATGAGTAAATCATGTCAGTGTTGCAGCGTGTTAGATTTTTACCTTTATAGTAGCAACCCTTTAGCTGAACTGAAGCAGGCTGCTTACAGCTGCCTGTTAAATTTCAGCCCATGCAACCTAAAACTGACACATTGCCTTTCTTCTAAAACCTTTAGGCATTGCTGGTAATGAAGGTGCAGAAAGAAAATTGAGCACTAATTCTGAATGTGAGCAATAATCCTACGTGTGATTATAATTCTACACGTGACCTAGAGAAATGGAAAAAGTTCCCTGTAGCAGGCAGTCTCTAATCTGATTAGTATTCCAGAGACTATTTATCTTCCTTATCATTTGTTTGTGCACCTGTCAGATCTGCACCTTCATCTATTATAGATGGGATTAAATCCTTTAAAATAAAATCTCCCATATAATTAAATATTCCCTTTCATCTTTCAGACTGTCGTCCCCTAACTGTTGAGTGAGTACTGTAATGACTTCCCTAATGTGCCCTCTGTGCCTAGGAGTTGAAGGATGCTGTGAATGTTAGTCTGTGTCTGGCATTGAATTTCCCTGTCCCTGCTTTCATTACATCAACACCACTCCGAGGCTGCATGGACAGTGAACTTTTTCCCGATTAGGTGCCTTGATAGCTGGTGGTTTCTTAATTGATTCTCCTGTTGATAAGAAGATTGAAATAGCTTTTTCATTTGTATGTCAGCAGCCAAAGAGGGAGCAGGTGCTGTGGATGAAGAAGACTTCATTAAGGCATTTGAAGATGTCCCAACGGTTCAGGTAAGTAGAATATCATGTTAAAACCCACAGTACTAAAAAGCAGAAGATGGATATAAAATGTAGTCTTATCACTGGCAGATTGTGCTTCATTGTGATGTTGCATTGCAATACAATTGCAAATCTTCTTTATGGGGAAGACAAGTGGGAAATTGGGGGGAGGCAAGTTTTAAGTGGTGGTATCTGCTGGTAGTTTATGTGAAGCACTCAGAAGTGGAGGGAATGGGGTGGGAGGGTTGTGGTAAAGGTATCACAGGAGCAGAGCTGGACCTGGACGTGTGTGCTGCACAGTGCAGTGTGGATGAACAAAAACTTAGACAGCAGAAACATATCTGCACTTCTGTACCATCAGAACTGAACGCGGTAGTGGTGACTTGTGTCTCTGGGCTCCGTGCTGTTGTGAGTGCCACAACTGGATATACTGCATGTTTGCTGATAGATTTGGCTGGATAGTGGAGATGTATCATGTATTCCCTGTCCTTCAGAGCTTTACTTTTGTGAGAGATGAACAGTGCATGTATCTACTTGTCATCTTCTGTAGGTCTTTGCTAATATAATTTAAATCTGCAGATTTATTCCAGCCGGGATCTTGAGGAATCGATAAACAAAATAAGAGAGATACTATCAGATGATAAGCATGACTGGGAGCAGAGAGTTTCTGCGGTAAGTAGTGAACTTGGAGATGAACTCATGTTAATGTAAGGTTACTCATGGAGAGGATACTGGGAGGACCTCAGAGTAAGGCTAGAATGAATGTAGTTTGACTGGTGAACATCTGTTAGGTTGCCCCAAGCTTGGGGGAAGAGTTTCCTTATGAGACTGAATTTACCCAACATCTGTGAAGGAAAATCTTATTTGACATACAAGAATCTGTTGAGACAGCATCAGGTTGAACTGGAAGTCATGCACCAAATCCAAATGTAAAGCTAGAAGTTTTCTAGCAGGTGCTGAAATCAGAATGTCGAAAGTTGCATTTGGAATATCCCAGAACTTCCTGATGAAGCAGGTCACTTCGGTTATAGAGATCTTACAGTTTTGCAAAAGTAGGTGTAAAACAATTCAGAATTTACATGCTTAGGTTTTGAACAAATAAGTGTGTGAGAAATGTGGAAGTGAAAAAGCAGATGTTATATGGATGCCAGGATTGAGGTTTTACGGAGGTGAGCTGTGTTTTCATGATATGCACAGATGCATGATTTTGTCTACACTGTAGTTTTTCATCACTGCTCTAGCAACTTGGCATGTCTGTCAAGGCCTGTGTTACAGATCTGAGTGGCAGACTCTGCTGATCCAGCTTACTTCAGGTTTTCGTTTGCTGTAGTGAGTAACAGTGAGCTTAAATTGAGGCATCAGTATACATGAGGGCCTGAGAAGATACCCTAACCAATGTCTGTAGGATGGAATAGTGATCCCTGTATTATTAATAGAAAATTTCCTAATTTGATGGGGTCAGGGTTCCACTTCTAATAGGGCCAGAGGGGACCTAAGATATAGAAGCTGTTGTAAATAAATAGGTGGTTTTTAAGGGGAGTGTAGAAAACCTTTAAGGTATCATTTGGCTTAAAAAGTAATGTTTTGGGTTATTAACAATACAGTTTGAGTAGCTGTATGCAGCACTCCTGGATTCGTATAACAGTTAGCTAGCATTTTATATTATTGTGCTTAGTATGTTAACCTGTGAGTTGAGTATAAAATCTGAAATAATAAAATTCCTTGGAGTCTAAGAACAGTTGCTCAGTGCATGTTGAAGAACAGTTGTCCAAGGATCCTGGAAACCAAGTATCAGCCCTGAACACAATTGTCTTTGTATTTATTGCTCATTAACAGTCACTGCTTTCTTTTGTGGTGCCAACAGTTGAAAAAGATCCGCTCCTTACTTTTGGCTGGAGCTGCAGAGTATGATAACTTCTTCCAACACTTAAGACTTTTGGATGGAGCATTTAAATTATCCGCTAAAGACCTGCGGTCTCAAGTAGTGCGGGAGGCTTGCATCACGTTGGGGTGAGTTTACTTCCTAAGTGTGCTTGAAATGTGGCGTAGAGAAGAGGAACGGGTACTGGTTAAAACACATTTAGGATGTAACTCATGCTGTTGGTACTACGTAGTTACTCTACATAAGTAGAATAGGTTTTTGCTGCAGCTGTTTAAAACCATGTCTGTGTAGGCCAGTAATTGTAGTTGTGCCAAACTGTGCTCCTGTGTTTTAAACGATGGTGATGTGAGGCATGCTGAAATAATGAGCAAGCCGTGTGTTCATGATCCGAGTAGGGAAAAAAATAAAACTGAAAATGCATGTTTTGTTCTGGTCCACACTGAGCTAGTTATTTTTGATGGTTTATCCTTTGTGAAATGCTTCAAGAAAAAGGGTGCTGCAGTGTTTCTAACAGCTTTTTTGAAATTTGTGCATATTAAGGTAAAATAGATGGGTTCAGAGAAACTGTGATACCAACTACTGAGTTCAGGAAAATCTGTTCTTTCAGCATTGTCCCATTTATTTGATAAATTTTTAGCTGTGCTGGTTTCTTTATTTATTTTATGCTGAACTTGCTGTTTCTTGGAGTTCAGATGAACACAGAACCATGAGTTTGAAATTAAAGGAACTGTTTTTTGAAACATGGTGTTTTCTGTCCTTTGGAGTTGGAGAGGTGGCAGTTGGGAAGAGTGCAGTGTCAGAAGTGCTTATGTCAGGTGTTCTGCAGAAGTCAGACTTGCTTCATCCTTGGCGCACTTACCAGCATGACTTCATTCTCTTTTTCAGACATTTGTCATCAGTTCTGGGAAACAAGTTTGACCACGGGGCAGAAGCCATCATGCCAACAATTTTTAATCTAATCCCAAATAGTGCCAAAGTCATGGCCACTTCTGGTGTTGTAGCAGTTAGATTAATTATTCGAGTAAGTATATGTGGAAAGAGCACGAAGTGTTATTACTCACAAATATTGTGGTGTTTCTGAAATATGAATGTTGCTGCAATGAAAATTGGATTAAGTGCCTAATCTACTTTTCTGATTGAGCTGGGCTTGGCTGTCTCATATGTCACGCAGCCTTGTGTAGATGATGAGAGTTAAGCCCTGCCAAAATAGTAGGAAAAATATTTCTTTACAGAATAACATATTTCTGTCCCTTTATGAACTGAGCAAACTTTTTTTCTTTGAATGAATTTTAAAACTGCCTTGCTGGACAGACTCATCCTCTTAATTATGCTCTAAAACCTCCTCACAGACAGTGCATGTTTCCTCAAACCATTAGGTCACAAAGGTGACTTCTGCCTAGTGATACATGGGCGAAACTGTAGATAGCCTGATATCTCGAATTATCACCACTGACGGTTTAGGTCCTCTTGCAGTGACTTCAGCTCCTTGACTCACTGGAGCCTGTCATTATAGAAGACAATAAATTCTTCTAAAGGTATTTTAACAGATAAAACAAAATATTTTTAATAATAAAAATACCTGTTCATATCTGCTAGTGTGCCTTTATTTAGCACTTCTGTTTTTAAGGGTTGAAGAAGAATATCTACATAGTGGGCTCAGGTGGCTGAAGGAGATGGCCTTTCATTCCATGGAACTGTGGTGTAAAAGATTTCTTCCTGTTTTTGTTGTTGTTCTTCTAGCATACGCACATCCCTCGATTAATACCCATCATAACTAGTAATTGTACCTCCAAGTCTGTTGCAGTTAGAAGGTGAGCATTTACTTTGAATTTCTTCTCTTCTTTACCAATAAATAGGTTCACATGTACTTTCTGGCAACATTCATGTATTTGTTTTTATTCATGAAAAGGGTTGACATACATGTTTGGTAAATGCATCTCATTCTCCCCAACGAGTTGGGATCGAATTCCAAGTCAGCTATCTTGTATAAGCTGCAGCACTGCAGAGAAGAAAAGCCACTTTTCCTCAAAGAAAATTGTTCTTTGAATTAGTCTTTGTGCTTATGTGTTCTTATAACAACTTCATATTAGTTTGGCTTCTTCACAGACCTGTTCCTCTTCCCCACTAGTAGCTGTTAGAGTGACACGTTTTCTCTGAGGCAGTCAGCAGAAGTAGTGTCTGACAGTGTCGCGTGGCAGGTACGGCAACGTCAGCGTGCCTCTGTTAACTTGGACAACTCAGCTTTTCTTCTTTCTTCTCTCAGGCGCTGTTTTGAATTTTTAGACTTGCTGTTGCAGGAGTGGCAAACACACTCCCTAGAAAGGTAAGCTCTGAAAACAAATGGGTTAGTTCTCTACTTGCATCCGGGGAGGTTAATTCTGGAGGAAGGATAATCTAGGAGGTGAGATGATACCAGGTAGCTCTAGTAGAGATATTTTTCCCTCATAAAAAGCACGTAGGTGTGTGAACATATGCCATCCATCCTTGTAGTTCTGGTGGTCAGGAGTTTTGGTGAGTGTCTCCTATGCCAGCCCTGGAAAACCTGGCTGAGTGAATCCCTGAACTCAGTTTTTTTCCCTTTTGCACCCTAAAGCAAGGTGATGATGAGGAGGCTACTCTATCTATCAGGAGCTTCTGAGGTTTCTACAGTACTTCAAATGAAAGAACAGCGAAAGTAATTGTGTGGAGAGAAGACTGGGGCACCACTTCTTTAGCCATAGACTGCAGAAGACTATTTTGAGGGTTAAGAGGGTACTTTTGCACACAGGCAATTTCAATAGCTAACTGAAGACTGACCTATGAAGAATGCTGCTTGCCTTTTCCTGGTCTGCAGTGTGGGTCAAATAAAACTGACTTGTAAGTGTAAATAAATAAAGGCTCTAAAGGATCTTATATGGGAAAGGGAAGATGTTATGAACTCTTTGTTTTTGGAGACTGAGGCAAAATCAAATTAGTCCTTTGTTTGTGAGATGCATCTTTCTGGACTGCTGAATAATGTTTTCCTTCTTATTTCAGACACATATCAGTGTTAGCTGAAACAATAAAGAAGGGAATTCATGATGCAGACTCTGAAGCCAGGATAGAGGCAAGAAAGTAAGTGAAGCTGTTGCTGGTGTCCTTTCCTCCCCTCCTCCTTTGCCTCTATTGTGTTCTGAGTCAGTGGTATTGCATATTAGAGACTGAAGTCCACACCAGATATGTTCTCCTGGTGGTTGAAGCCAACTTTCCCTTGGCTTCAGTTGGAGTGTGTGCTTCAGCAGGCGACGTCATACCAGGTGATCCCATAGGGCTGAGATATGTATGTATTGCATCTCCTAATGGTGCTTATTTCACTTTGTTCTTGTTATGTTTTACTGACTTTTTATAATCTCTCTGCTTAGCTGAGTTGTTCAAGAGTCTGAAGTCAAGAACTATTAACCTCCTCTTTCGTTTTGACGTTCAAGTTGCTTGCAGTTAACTGACATTTCTTATGTTTAGTACAAAAATACTATTATTTCTATTATATTTTTTCTTTCCTTTGTGGCCTGTATGCAAGACCTAGGACAGAGTAATGCTGGGCACAGGTATAAATTGGGAGAGGAGTGGCTGGATAGCAGCTGTGCAGAAAGGGATCTGGGGGTGCTGGCTGGCAGCAGGCTCAATACGAGTCAGCAGTGTGCACTGCCAGGCAAGAGAGCAAATGGCATCCTGGGACGCATTGCACACAGTACAACCAGCCGTTCAAAAGAGGTGATTACCCTGCTGTTTTCAGCGTTGGTGCGGCCTCTCCTTAAGTACTGTGCGAGGTTCTGGCCTCCGCAGTTTTAGATGGATGTGAAGGTCCTTGAATGTGCCCAGAGGAGGGCAAGAAAGCTGGTGACAGGACTGGAAGGCATGCCCTGTGAGTAGCGGCTGGGGAGTTTGGGCTTGTCTAGCTTGGAAAAAAGGAGGTTGAGAGGTGACCTCAGGGGTCATTGGAGAGGGAGGTGCTGATGTCTCCTCCCTGGGATCCAGCCAGGGAACGGGTGGGAAGGGTTCAGAGCTGCAGCAGGGGAGGTTTAGACTGGACATCAGGAAGCATTTCTGTACGGAGAGGGTGGTCAAACACTGACACAGGCTTCCTAGAGACGTGGTTGATGCCACGAGCCTGTCCGAGTTAGAGGTGTTTGGACAATGCCCTTAACGTGCTTTAACTTTCGGTCAGCCCTGCAGTGGTCAGGCAGTTGGACTAGATGATTCCAACTGAAATAGCATAGTCTATTCTATTGTTGTTTGCTGCTCTTGAAATAAAAGTCCTTGTGCTAGTACACTACTAAATGTGATCCTAAATTAATCTTTTATGACACTGAAGTAATTTCTTTGTGTCTATCTATAGTAAACGTAAATATTTGCAGTGAATTTTCTTCTATTGAGTGTGTCTTGCATTTCCATTAGTGTGTCTGTATGTATGGTAGTATGCTGATATATTAGGATAATGCTCCTCTGAACAGAACACTACAGGAACATTTTTCTTCAGAAAGAGGATGATGTAAAACATGAAACCAATGAACGATAAATTTCATTAATCTAAATGCTGTTATAAGCAGAGGTGTCTCACAGTAGGACTGATTAAATCCTTTTGAAAGGGAGCATGTCCATCACTGAAAAATACAGTAGGCACTGAGACTTCACAGCAGGTAACTAGTTAAGCGCTGAATAGGCAGCAAGGAGAATGGCATGAGCCTTCAGAGAGCATGCTTAATTCTCTCTTTAGTGTGGCTGATTGTAAGACAGAAATTTGTTTCCTCCTAGTGATGTGAGAATGCATGTGACTCCTCTGAGGACTGGCTGTCACACACAGACAACTCTTGATTCATTTGAGTTCACGATCTTACTCTTAAACTGCCCATTAGTTGCCCCCTGAAAAGTGCTGGGAGTCTTCATCTCCTTTGTGATGAGAGTGAATGGTGTTTCACCATCAGCCGTGAGATTTGGACCAGAGAGGAATTCTTCCCTCATCTTAGAATGCTCTTTTATTTTCAGCATGGCAGTGATTGGGAGTCTACAGAAGAACCTCTTTCCTTTTCCTTGTTATTTCTTAACAAACACAAAGTCAGCAGCCTCAGTTCAGCACAGATTTGTCTCTGCAGCACTGTAGGAGTGCTGTTTGTTAGACTTGGGGAAGAAAACACCACCTGGTGCCTTCCTGAATCAGGCTCATGCAGGTGTGCTTTGCTTTTGGCATGTTTTTGAAGTAGCTGTTGAGCACCCAGTCCCACACCAGTATCAACAGTGGCTCTACCATCTCCTGTGTAGGGTAGACAGCTGGAGGGATGAGGGTTTCTTCCGTAACAAAGCTTTGTTGTCTACTCGTGTTTTTACAACGCACCAAATGATGTGTTCTTCTCCTTATTTTCATTTGCTTTGTCTTCTCTGCAGCTGTTTGAGCAATGCAGTGGGTTGAAGAAATGTCTCGCGTCTTCAGTGTGTCACAGGGGCAGTGGGTGGCCGAAATGACCAGGCTCATGAGCCCACTAGTGCCAGAAAAGGGCTCTGACTGTACCTGTGCTCCACTGCCTCCTAAAACATGGCAAGGGAGAGTTCTCAGTCAGTATTTTTTTCCTCGCAGGTGTTACTGGGGTTTCCACAGTCACTTCAGTAGAGAGGCAGAGCATTTGTACCACACCTTGGAGTCTTCCTACCAGAAGGCCCTGCAGTCGCATCTGAAGAACTCTGACAGCATTGTGTCCTTGCCCCAGTCAGATCGTTCCTCCTCCAGCTCCCAGGAGAGTCTCAAGTAAGTCCTTCAGTGTCATATCCTCTTGATTTCAACAAATGCAGACAGCTCCATTGCATTGGAGGGAACTGTCATGTTGCTTTGTCTCATCTCGTCATCATTTGACCTCAAAACTTGATTATTCCAAATTACCTTTTTTTTTGTTTGTTTGTGTTAGCTAATGCTGTGTTAAAATAAAAATCCAGCAAACCTCATTACTGGTTTGAAAAAGTTGTCATGACTCCATAAATAATTTTCCAGGAAGCTTTTTCTTTACAGCGGGTACTGTTAGTCAGTCCTTCCAGGTGTGTTTAACACAATGCTCTGATTAAAATTCTGTGCTTAGTGTTAATCTTAGAGGTGTAAGTCTGCCACTTTCCATGTAAGAGGAAAAAAAAAGACTAAACTAAACTTGAGTTGTGACTGCAAAATCGATACGTAACTCTGATGAACATGTATTTTAACTTCTTTCAGAGATAGTTAACTTAGGTTCCAAATGTCTGCAATTTAAGTGTTAGACCCATGTGAAAAATATCCATAAGTTATTGGTGCAACTTTTAATTTACAGTAAGTGTTCTGAAAAACCAATTTGTGCTCAAAGAATGTGCATGCTAATTTATTTCTTAGTGCTTTTGTAAAGAATTTCATGGTGGTGCTGTATTTATTCTTAAACAATAAGCTTAGTTAGTCTATTCCTGTGTATAAAAACTTATTATGAGCTTAGGGTACTGAGGGAACAGAATGGCTGTTACTGCTGGCTATGAAATACCATGTTTGTTTTAATAAATATTTATATTAACTTCTAGCCGTCCATTGTCTGCCAAAAGAAGTCCTACTGGAAGTACTACATCTAGAGGTGAGAACAGGAGCTGAAAAATGCACTGAGGGTGTTGCTGAGGAAGTGTGATGAATTAGAATGAGAATCTCAGACCCTGTAATATGCAAAGAACAACTTTGATCACTGTTTACTGAGCCTTAAAATGGCAACTTGTTATGTAAAATCTTTAATTAGTTTAGGGTTGTACACCACATTCTGTGCATCAACTGCTGATATAATGATGCTTTTGAAAGTTAGTAAATGTGGTATTACTTACATCTGAAGGGAAAGCTGAAAAGCCTTGAAAACCATAGTCAAGGTATGTTTACTTGTGCAATAGCTGGAATAAAGTACTGCTGACACGAAGAGATACAGCTTCATAGTCTAATGGTGCATTCAACTTCACAGTTTTCTGTCACTTACTGTCTGTGGTTTCAGCACTTACTGGAGGCATCATCTGCCCACAAGTCCTACAGTATTAAATTCCATCTCATTGCTAATCTGTTTTAACTGTTAGATGGAATATTTAGGTGCAGCTTTCTTGTCCTAAGTAAATGCATTCAATAATCTAAATAGTCAACTTTAATACAGAATATAACAGACCAAACTTTGTTGGTAGAAGATAAGCTGCTTCGACACCTGACCAAGATTGGGTTCTGGCTGGTTTGTGTACACACTACACCTTACTGGGACCTTTGATTCAAGGAGATATTGGTGTGGAAGCTACTTGATTGTGCACACAATTGCATGTTTGCTTGCAGCTGAATAGACAAGCTTCATGCTTAAGAGGTTAAGCATCAACAAGTGATGGGAACAGCAGTCCTCATGAGAAGATGAGGTGGTGTTAGAACCTGGACTGAAGGACCTGCAGGTCTGTTTTGCCCAGTAACTCAAGATGGTGATGGATACTTCCACTGAACTTTCCCATCTAGGTTCTGTTAGAAATGTCTTCATTACTGGCCTGGCAGCCTTTTTGATCCCAGCATTGAGGTTAGTGTCTGATAAAGTTCTGAGAGGTAGCATCAGGTCAGCGTTGAAATATCTTTTCAGGCAGTGTGGGGAAGCCCACACTGCCCTGATAAAGCATTCTTAGTTGAGGTATTTCAGCACCAGCAGGGAGCATTAAAAATAGTACATTAAACTGCTTGTCAAGCTCTTTGAAGCACACAGCTCAAAAAATTAATCTTCTTTATTCTGGATCTCCCACTCCCATCTGCAGCATCTACAGTAAGTACAAAATCTGTGTCAACACCAGGATCTCTGCAGCGATCCCGCAGTGACGTCGATGTGAATGCAGCAGCTAGTGCCAAGTCAAAAGTGACGTCTTCTGGATCATCTACCCCCTTCAGTTCTGCTGCAGCCTTGCCCCCAGGCTCATACGCTTCACTAGGTAAATCTACATGTTCTACTCTGGCAGTTAGCTTTCTTTACCAGCAGCAAGTGTCTCGTAGTTTTATTTGAATATTTAACTAGAACAACATAGCTCTGAGTTACCAGCTCTCCAGGATCAGTGTGTGATCTCTTGCCCTTTGGGATTAAGGAAAAAATTTGCAACAGTGCTGGCTTGAAGCAACTTCTTAGTTTTGGAATTGTGTAATAGTCTGCGTCTCGCTCTTCCTTCTGGGGAAAAGCAAATCTTACTCTGATACAGGATCATTGTTAAGGAAGATACTTACTGCTCAGTTCCTTTTGATGTGTTCCCCTATCTCGTTTCCTTCTCTTCTTTCCCTCCTTTTCTGGTTTTCCATCAACTGTTTTATGCTTTGAATAGTACATCTTAGCTGAGTTTGATCGCTTTCTATTTTACAAGAGAGGTGTAGAAGCAAACATAGGATATAAGTATCTGTTCCTTATGCTGACTCTTCTTGGATTATAGCCACATGTCACATTATTCTCTCAAAGCATCATGTATCGCTTTCAGGTTTCTTACCACAAAGTTTGCACTTGATCTTTCTTTACTAGAGATGCCGTTGGAGAAGGAAATGCAAGGCAGTGATTGACCCTGCATTTGCACAGCTTCAACTCGGTTATGAGCAGAGCTGACCATCGGAGCTAGTTTCTCATTCTGCTGGTTTCATGCTAGTCTAATTCCAGACTTCTCATCGGTTTGCCTTTACAAGAGGGAGAAAAATCAGAAATCGGTGATCTTGATTTAAGTCATGTCAGTTGTCTTCACTGAGTCATTTGAGGAGTTGCTTCTCTTTAGTTTCAGGGCATTTGGCCTTACAGCCTGATAAAATAGACTTGGTGAATTAGATAGGGATGGTTTCTATAGATTCCTCTTGTAGACAGGTTTCTTTCATGTCTGAAATATTCTACCTTGGCATAAATGTGTTCGCTGTGTTTGACTCGGACGTTGAATTCCTATTCTGATTCCAGTTGTTCAGACTTCGTTCAAGATTCAGAAACGTTGCAGTGAGAATGTAACACAGCAGACGAAGCTGCTCGCTTAGTGACTTGCTTTTGGCCTTGCAGATGCAGCCATTTTTCTGTTGCGCTGTGCTCCGGCTTCGGTGGCCAAACTGCTATTGAACAATCATATGTCATGAAGAACAAAAGAAAGCGGAGTGAACAGTTGTTTTTGTCCTTGAAGCTGGGAGACTGAACACGGTCTTGTTCTCAAAACAGACTGCAGGAGAAAAGCAGCAAATATACTCTTAAGTGACGCAAACGTGGCTGCTCCTGTAGGAGCCTGCATCCATTGGAGCTCGTAGGTACCTTTGTCACCCGTGTGTTCCTGTAAGAGGAATGGTGAGGCAAACAAAGAAAACGGAGTTTGGCAAAGGTTGGTTATGGCAGGAGGGAAAACCTGCAAGCGTGTTCTTCGGAAACATCAAGCTTTGATTTGCTGATCTCAAATTTTTTTCATTTCTTCAATGGTGTTAAATTTTTTTTGCATATTTCTGTAGCTAATACATAGTGCCCACTTCTGTTGATGTTACTAATTTTCCCTATTAACCTTTTCCTTATTTTTTTTTAATTTGCCTAAAGATGGTACTACCACTAAAGCCGAGGGTAAGCAGTCTGTGTAACCGAGGTGTGTCCACAGTCGTACCACCCTACTTGGTCTCTGTTCTCAAAGTGTTCTCTGGTTCTCATCCGTGTTCACTGGTGACCTGCATGAGGTGTTGCATGGTTGTCCTGCTCATTTTGATGCCATGGGGTAGTCCTCACGTTCTCTTCAAGCTCCTCCCTACTAATAGGCACTAGTCTGCTTTTATGACTTGGCTTCTGGTCACAAAGGTGTTTGTGGGTCTCCGTATTTAAAGCACTGCTTTTGGTTGAAGGTGACCTGTGCATGGATAAAAAAACTTCCCACACACCAAAAAAAAACCCCAAAAACCCCAAACACAGGGCCTGTGTTTTCTTGCTCCGCGATGTGTAAAGGTTTGCTGTGTTTTTCCATCCAAAGCTGAGGTCGCAAGTGCCAAGTGCTTTCGGGAAGAGACTGGGCAGCGAGAGAATTGAATGGAGATGATCACATGGCAGAAAAATGAGGACAGTAAACAGTGATCTCCAGGGAAAGAATATTTAGTCAACCTCTTTAAACCTGATCTCTCTTTTACTGTTGTTAACTGTCTGAGTGAGATGGCTGACATCGAATGCAGAGGAAAGGCTTTTCTTTTTTTCCTTCTTTCAAGAACACTGAGCCTGCTAGTCTGGGAGAGCTCCAGTCTCATTCTCTGGCTTGTTGTCAAATCTCGCTCTTTATTTCTCTCAAGCAAAAAAAAGAACACTGGGAAATGACTTTTTCTGAGGTAGACAGGAGTTGAAAACAAGAATGCCTTCTACACATAATGAAGACACCACACCCCCCAACAAACCCCATTTTTTCTTGATGCAAGTCTCTTTTCAAGGGATCTGTTAGTGCCTTGTGGGGCTGTACTCGTAGCCTTGATAGCTGCTTGTATTTGGATGGGGTGTTCTCTGAAGTGCCATGGTGCTGTTGTGACGTGTGTATGGGTTTTTTCTTTCCTATTATTAATGTGTTGATTTATTTAGAGGGAAAGGTCTTTACCATCTTCAAAACTGTCACCTAGTGTTAAGAGGCGAGCTGGCTCTGGATCGTGGACAAGTGTTTGTGCTTTGTGATCTGTCAGTGATAAGGAATATGAAGTTGGCCTAAACATCTGTATTTCTAAATCACTGGCAAGTTAGATGTAAGTTAGATTGTTGTAGTCCTGAGTTGCTTTGTATTCATTGCTCACCCTTCTTTTTCGCTTCTTCCTTTCCCCTCAGTTCTCAAACCTTTCTATTTTTGGCTTAACTTTGGAACGTTGAATGCTCAATAATTTATAAAATACCCTCGGTACTCTCCCAGGCTGTAATAATATTTGTGAGGGCCTGTTCCAACATCTGTCCTCTGAAATACCTTTGTTTTTAGTTTATTAAATGCTTTATCGTCATCATGCAAAAGGGTAGGGGGTTTTATTTGATTAGGCTTGAAGCAGAAGCAGATTGGATTTGGTAAAAATCTGTAATACAAACCAGCAAGTCACCTGGGGGGAAAGATTGCGAGATGCACTTTCAGATACGTAGTTTGCCACCCCTCTCGTATTAAATACCAGATCTCATTTCTTCTTTTTGCTGTAGGATTCTCTTTTTTTGGGGGAGTGTGGATCAGGGAGGATTCTTAACAGTGTGGCATGCTACAGCCAGAGCACTTGAGGTTTAATCACTCTTTGAAACTCTTAATCTTTATTTTCCTTTGAGACAGTTGAGGGAAAACCAGCCTTTGTGTACAGGGTTTGGTGTGTCCCTCAGATGAGGGCTGAGAAAGGTCTTCTGCCAACTCTCTGATCTCAGAGAGTTTGCCAGGAACTACAGAGAAGGCAAAACTTTGTTCTTGACATAAATATACAAATTAAGGGGTCAGGGGGAGAGGAAAAGAAAAATACCCCCTTGCTCTGGAAATACCTGTGTGTGTGAGAGATACTCTTTGAACATAAACCAGAACTTCCATCCACACCCATGCCCCATTTTTTGTTTTGTTTGTTTTTGCAGGTCACCAGTAAGTAATTTAAGAGCAAATCCCTATGTGGTTTTTCTGTGGTTCAGCTCAAGGTTAAGTCTGCGGTCTGGTTCCCATCATGGCTTTCTGTAGCCACAGTGTAAAAGTTCTGCACCTTCCCCTCAGCTGGGAGCCAGCATTGTGTGAATTTGGCAGTTCCCATCTGTCTTGCCCTCAATTCTCCTCAGTCTTTTGTTTTTGAGCCAAAAAAGGAGCAAGATTGAGTGGATTATGCCAGTGGCAAGAACAGAAGTTAAGAGCCAACTATGAGTCGTTTGGTTTTAAGTAGTGCCATCCCAACTGACAAATGCTGTTGCAACGCACTTCCTTACGGAAATGTGGCATGAGTCTGGGTACCACTTAAATCTGTGCTGGTCTTCTGCTGTCTCTGTGTTGTGAGGCTGTGTCTTCCTGCAGTGCAATTACGTCTTGATTGCCCAGACCCTTCGTACATGGGTGTCTCTTGAACGTCATTAAGAGCTTTGCAGGACGAAAGGCTTGTAAGGTCTAAAGCTTTATAGTCTTGATCAGGACTTCACAGCTAGTGTGCCGTGCAAATGGCATTTGTGTCCTAAGTCCGTGTTTGTTATACCAGATTGAAAGGTTTCTGCTTGTTTTATCATGAAATGGCTTTTCAAGAAATATTTAAAATAGATGCATAATGGTGACTTTCAGTACAGAATAATGGCTCAGAGTGTTTCTGTTACCTGTCTGCCTTTTCTTCAAAGTGAGCATAAAGACAAGCCTTTCCCAAAAGGGGTAAGCATAAGTGGTGGTCTGTCCTGAAACTGGCACGTTTAAAACAAAATCAGCAGTTTCCAGAGTTAGTGGCACAATTTTTAATAGTTTCTACAATTCACCAGAAAGGAAATCAAGTCGGGTTTATTACAGTTTTCACACAGCAGACCACTCTTGTTCAGCCTAAGCTCATCTTGACATCTTCAGCCTTACCAAAGGCTTTGGGAGTAAGACAAGGCTTATGAAATACCACCATTGCTGTTTTCTGCTCTGCCTTAAAGCTCTTCCTTCACCTCAAGGACAAGGAATGATTCAAAGGTTTGACTGAACGTGGTATCTTAAATGGAAATGTTTCTTTGTTCTCTTGGTCCGTCCCCTTGAAAGTACTGGCTCGATTTCCCTGTGCCTGTTGGTGTAGGGCAAAGTGGTGCCACTGTTGTTCCCTCTGCTTTGGAGGGAGTTCTCATGCGAAACCTGGAGGCAGCGTATGCTGGTGGCTTCCAGTAAAAGTTGAGTGCTGCTTGGGAGAAATTACAGTGTGGAGCCAGGTCTTAATACTAGTGTAATGTTGGACTTGTGCTAAATATGCATGGAAATCATACCGTGCTCGTTGTAAGAAGTTGTTTACAGATTTAAGTGTAAGGCATGTGTTTAATTGATGTGTGCCTGTCTCTCAAATGTCCACGTGTCATTTAGCAGTGACACAACTTGGGGGGGTCCTAGAGGCTCTTCCAGGAATGTTTTTCTCCAATCAGGAGTAAAACCCGATGCTGAGTAACCTACATGCATTAACCTGCTCCATGGAGAGACCATTACAATCCCAGTGCTTCCTTATGTATCTGGTGGTTGTAGATACCATTATTCGCAGCATGGAATGGATTAAGCTCAGTTGTAGAGCTGTTGTATAGCATTTTGAGACTATTTGAAAGCCGTTTTCTTAGGTGTTGTGAGACTCAACCTGTACATTACACTGTGTTCTGAGTTTTGGGGGTGGAGATGATGCAGTACCTTCCCAGAGGAGCTCAGAACAACCCTGCTGGATGAAGCCTCTTGTAATGCAAAAACATTATCACAGATTCTTCCTTTGCTTGTCCCTTTTAAAACAAAACAGCCTTTCTAGGTTTAGACATACGTTGGACGTTTCAAGGTTGATTCTGATCCATTGATTGCTGTAAAAACTGACAAGAACTTTAAAAAAGAAAACCAAACTCCCCTAAAAATCCCCAGCCACAAATGGTTTCTTAACACCAAGCATTTATATGGAGTCTTTCAAAGTACTTTCTCTACCAACAGCAACGTGTCACATGTCAAACTTAGATCAAAGACTTTTTTATGGAAATACTTCTATGTTTTTTGGAAAGTAGTTGGGGCAGTGTTTATCTGTTCCTTTCCTGTGCTACTGTTGTCAGGATGCAGTGATTCTTTTAAGAACAGCAGAAAAATAATAGTTATGAAATATGAATCGCTATGTCTGCTGTTTGAGCTAGAGATGGAAATAAAACCCCTTGAAAGAAAAGAATTTTTGGAGGGGAGGTGTTTTCTTGATTTCAACAACAAAGGAGTAGTATGAATAGCTTATTTGATATTTATTGTCCTGCGTGAAATTAGTTTTTCTGTCTGGGTTAGAATGATGGGGTAAAGCTACCGCGTAGTCCTATGTGCAAGTAACTCTTGGATGAGAATGCAGACTCTTGTTTGCAGATGAAATCCTTAAGGGGATGTAGTAGAGATGTTTGTATTGTATAGATGAACATCTATATATACATTCTGTACGTGGTATAATATATATTAACAACCTCGAGATTTTCAAGCCAGGCAAATATTCATAGAATCATAGAATCCTAGAATGGTTAGGGTTGGAAGGGACCTTAAAGATCATCTAGTTCCAACCCCCCTGCCATGGGCAGGGACACCCCCCACTAGACCAGGTTGCTCAGAGCCTGGTCGAACATGGTCTCCAAGTATTGATCGAACTTACTCTAAAGCAAACAGGTTTTGGATATCATAAGACTAACTTCAAAGCTGTGCATGTGTGTGAAGATCAGTTAACATATGAAACACCTCAGATCCCTCTCCTGGTTTTCTATCTCATACAGATTTGCCTGAAGCAATTTTTAGTTCCAATAAAATAAATACACAGTTTTTAGAGTCCAGAAAACAAAACTTTGCCAAGTACATTAACAATTCATGCTTCAAGGAATACGTATAACTGATATCAGATGGCACTTTTTCCTTTTGTAACTGTGTGAAGAATCTGACCTTGAATTTGAGAGGCATTTTCCCCCCTTGTTTGACTTTATCCCACAGCCTTCAGAAGTAAGGCACTCCTAGGATGAGCTGTTAGTACAATATTGCAGTATTCATAGCATTGCATCATTTTTGTTGAGAATTTATAGTTTCTGCTATCCCTGTTATGGTTTGCACATTGTGTGTCCATACAACGCTGTTCAGTCGCTTGCCAGCCTTTTCAGAAGGATGAGAAAACCTGTATCAGCAGTGGGACTCCTTTCTCCTGGAGTGCAAGAGTAACTCTTCATCCCTCATTCTTCTCTCTGACGCCCATTAGGCCAAAATCGGCCTACAGATCCACCAGTCCAAAAGGAAGCAGAATTTTGTTCCTGGGCATTCATTCATTCAGAAACTACTGAAGTTGGTGGGAGTCTGTCCACTGACTCTCAGGGGTTTCAGAATAGGACTGAGCTTTCTATTTCTAATCCTGCAGATAATCACATGTTAATTAAGTTTGACCCCTTGCTTGTTTTCTTTCTTAAAGCCCCAAAAATTGGCACTAGAAGCTAATCTTGGTTTCTCTTTTATGTATTATTTGAGAGTTTGTGTTTCTGAACATGGGAGAGTCACTTATTCCATATCGTCCCAGTTTTCTCCTCGTTCTTAGTTACCTGCTGATCAAGAGGGAGGGGGGGGGAGGGGAAGATTTTTCAGATTGAAGGAAGAACAGAAAATTCTGATGATCTTAAGGGTGGCCTGTGCATAAAAGGAAGAGACATCAGTCCCTTCCCAGCCATTCCTGGCCTATAAACATCACTAAACACGTTTTCTGATACTGTCTGTTACTGTGTGTAATGTTGAATTCTAGCTTGAGTTACCCCCCAGGACTTTCTGCAATACCAAGCCTTTCTGTTGGCCTCCTGGAAGGGTGTAAGTTGATTCCATCACTGATTCCTAAGACTGGTCAAGTTTAACTGCTTGTCATAGAATCATAGAATGGTTAGGGTTGGAAGGGACCTTAAAGATCATCTAGTTCCAACCCCCCTGCCATGGGCAGGGACACCTTGCACTAGACCAGGTTGCTCAAAGCCACATCCAGCCTGGCCTTGAAGACTTCCAGGGATGGGGCATCCACAACATCTCTGGGCAACCTGTTCCAGCGCCTCACCACCCTCTCTGGGAAGAATTTCTTCCTGACATCTAAACCTCCCTGATTTCAATTTATACTCATTACCCCTTGTCCTGTCACTACCGGCTCTTGTAAAAAGTCCTCTCCCAGCACCCTTGTAGGCCCCCTTCAGATACTGGAAAGCTGCAATGAGGTCTCCTCGGAGCCTCCTCTTCTCCAGGCTGCACAAGCCCAGTTCTCGCAGCCTTTCGTCATAGCAGAGGTGCTCCAGCCCTCTGATCATCTTCGTGACCTCCTCTGGACTCGCTCCAAGTGGTCAATATCCTTCTGATATTGAGGGCTCCACCGCTGGACGCAGCACTCCAGGTGGGGTCTCACCAGAGCAGAGTAGAGGGGCAGACTCTCTCTCTCTCTTGTCTCACTGTTTTGTACTCGTGCTCCTACCAGTGATTCCCTCCTGATGTGAGAAACGAAAGGAAGCCTTGAGGCTTCCGCCTGAGGTCCTTCTGCTCATCTGTGTGTCGCTGCACGTGTGCCCAACTTGGGAGGGATGGGAGCGGGCCTGCAAAGAGCCGTGGGGCCGTCTCTGGGTTGAGCATCAGGCTGACTGTTTGTAAGGGACAGGTAATGTCCTAGAGCAGAGGCGATCTGCAGCCTTGTTGGACTTCAGCTGCCAGCTTCGTGACTGGACCCACACGGACGCGCTCAGAGTTTGTTTAGTGGAGCCAGTAATTGAAAAGTGGTTTGTTTATATTTTCCCAGTTTTGTGCTAGTGATTTCTTCCGTGTCTTACCTACAAACAATAGTTTGAGTGTAGGTACCTGTATCTTGCCTACTGAGCTATTAAAAACTAGGTGCTGGTGGAGAAGTCTGAAGTACTGCCATCTTCTGTGCTTTTTCCTTTTTCCCTTGCAAACAAGTCGAGGCTTTCTTCTCAGAGTTAAACATCTTCTTGTCACTTTGTGTCTATCAGGAACTTGGAGACCATGTTATGAATATTTTGAGAGCTGGGGGAAGAACAGAACTCTCCATCCGTTCAGGCTGGGCTGCTTGCTATTGTCTTGTCCTGCATGTGTACCTCATGTGAAGTGATTTTTCTCTTTTTTTTGAGGGGTGTGGGAAGTGTATATTTCCCTGTTCGTGTTTCTCTGTGCTTATGGTGGAGACAAAGGGCAGGAGATAAATATCTATAACTAGTGGGTGCACTTGTCTAGACTCTTCTCTTACCTGCTGTGGTTTTCCCTTTTATTATTGTGCTTGGAACTTGAAGTCATCCTCTGAATGCAGGATAGCACTGGCATGAGTCCTGAGAAACAGCTTCAGATTTGGCTGAGAACTGAGTTGTTGAAAAGTACCGATGGAGGCTTTGATTGTGTTGCTCTTAATTATCATTTCTTTCCCATTAACTAGAGACAGATAATTGAAGCTTAGCACTGGAAAGAACATTCTGTAGGAAACAGCCCTGCCCTAGGAAGGGGATGAACTGATGACCCTGTAAGCTTTTCCAGCTCAAGTTTCTGTGGCTTTTTCATGAGGAAAGAACAGAAAAAGGGCCCAGAACTTTGAGACTTTATATTCATTCTCCACCTAAATAAAGAGCAGACACAGAATCATTTTTCCACAATGCTGATTGTGTTAAATGGGACTCTCTATTACAAGTAAAGTTACACTGATTGTGCAATAAATATGAGGGATCTGTAAACAGCATGGAAAACTCAATGAGCCTGAGATAAAAGCGTAGGCAGGCTGTGTTGAGAGACTCTTGCAGGAGTGCATGCCAGCCTGCGCACGTAGAGCGGGATATAAAGCACCTAGCTGCTAATTGGAAATCCCAGCGATGGAATTTGTGGGGGGATCTGTCACACCCATCTCCGAAAGAGTGATTGCCTGGCCACAAAGTAATAATTTGATATAGGAAGCAGCATTTAGGAGACGACAATTTTTGTTGTCGATCCTTTGTGAAGAAGCTACTATAGAACAGAAGCAAAGGTGTTAGAGAGAGATTATTTTTTCATTAAACTGTCTGATAAGGTTACAGAAAGCAAGGAGGTTTTAAGACACGTGGACCATGACTATTTCCACTTCCTGCCCTGTGTCTGAGCCAGTCTAATGACAGATACTGCCTCTCCCCGTACAATTTTTCTTTTGCACCCTGGTTAATTGTGTGTATAGCAACCCTGCAAGCATAGAACAGCATGTTAGACACTGCTGCTGCTTTTGGAAGAAACTTATTGACAGTCTTTGCATTCCTTCCAGGTCGGATTCGTACAAGGAGACAGAGCTCTGGCAGTGCCACAAGCGTCACCTCAACGCCTGCCGATACCCGAGGCCGCAGCCGGGCTAAAGTAGTTTCCCAGTCCCAGCGTAAGAAGTGATTTATTTCTGGGGGAGCAGGACAAATAGTTATTAATAAATTTCTCTTGAATTGTTCCCTTGAATTGTAGCAGTATCAGCTGATGATTGGGCTCACTTCTTCTAATGATGTTTGGACAGTAATAAGTCCCCCCGCAGCCAGTGTGACTCTGGCTGATGAATAGGGTCTCAGATCTGAGTGCTTAGTTGCTGCCTTTTCTTACCAGTTGTGCAACAGAATTTCATGTCGTTCCGATGTGTAGGGCTAAATAACTTGCACTGGGTCCCACTGAGACACCCTCCGTGTCTAGCTGGCTGCTGTCCTGGGTTCTTGCCTTGCCAAGCTTCTCCTGCTTATATGGCTGTATTTCTGTATGTGTAACATGTGAGCTGTCTGAAGTGAACGGGGTTTGGCATCAGTTTAAAATAGGACGTTATCTGTTTTGTGTAGATACGGGGGACAGGGTTCTGCCCTCTGTTTCACATGACAGAATGTGCTCTGTGGCTTCCTGGCAAGTCTTTTTCCCCTAGGAGCCATACAAATTTGTCATGTGTATCAAAGGCAAATTTTGTCACTGAAACTTTAAAAGGAATTGGGGGGAAGGAGAAAGCCACTCATGTTTTGAGGACCTTCAAACTTGTGGGTAAGAGGAGATGGGGTTTGTTCTGAGGCCTTGTCTTGCTTTGTACCCCTATTTAAAAGCCCTTTTCTGTTCATGCTCTCATTGCTTTGCTCTGTCATGCTGGAAGGATGGGGAAGCAGTTTATAGCATTGTGTTAGGCTGGGGGGGCTGAAGAGGGAAATATTATATTCAGGCTGGGGCCTAATGGAAATCTTTACATTGAGGTCATGAAGGATTTTGGGCTTTGGTATACTGATCTAAGTTGGTTTCTTCGGTTTTTAACCTAAAACTGATCCAAAGCCAGAAATTACCTTTTTTTCCTAAACTTAGTTTGGTGAAAAATGACTATAGTAGATGAGACTAGCCTCAGAACTAATTGAAGAATAGTTGAGTATCCAAAGGTTTCAAAGATTATGGGCTTATTTTTTTATAGAATGTCTTATGAAGCTTTAGGATGGTCACAGCTGAACCCACTTTGTGTGTCTGGTTTGCTGAATCCTGATTCCAGCCTTGCCCAACCACGTGATCTTTGTCCTTAAGCCGAACACTGCATGGGATAACTTATGAATTCTAACATAATATGGTCTCAGGACCAAATTCTCCATGCCCACACTGGATAACCCTGTTACAGTTTTGCAGGCTGGGCTGGGGTGTAATGTAGAGCAGAACTTAGGTTGCAGAGTGTTGGTTTACATTTAGCTAAGAAGCCGTTCAGCCTTGGGAAATTGGTAGTCGAGTCTGCATGTTAACTCACTGCCTTCTGCAGAGGCTTTAGGAGTGACATGTCTGTGAATAAATGTGTCTGCATTGTGTATAGCATAAAGCGCATGCTGAACGCTGTATTGTCTTGCTGTCTTTTAATCCACTTTTTGCCTGTCCTTTGGTCTGCCCTCATAATCAAGGATCCAGATCAGCTAATCCTGCTGGTGGTAAGAAACATTTTCCCTTTCTTGCTTTCTTACGTTATTTCCTTCATATTTAACTGCTAAGCCTTTAGCTTCCTTCACTCTCTCCTGAGACTTAAAAAGCATTTTCTTAAAAGTCCTAAATCCAAATGCATATGGCAAGTGATTTTGCTTTCTCATAGTAATCAAACATGGTAAGCATACATTCTGCATATTGAAGTTGGCTCATTGCTGCAGCTTAAACCCCAGGTGCTAAATTCTTCTTCCAGTTACTTCAGAGCAACCCTGCTGCCATCAGTGAGGTTGCAGCAGCGTAACTGAGACGAGTGTTGGCTTGCAGTGTGTGAGACTGGCATCTGTCACAAGATGTACTCTCACTTCTTGAGGAGGGGGGAGCCCCCACTGCATACACTATTGCAGTAATGACTTGATTGCTTCACAGTTGTATTGGCCAAGAAATTGCAGGGGGCAAGTAAGTTAAAATCATACATGTGTTATGGTGTTGTAGATGAGATGAATGGACTTGCCTGTCATCTTAAATTAAGACAGAAGAATAGTCTTTAACTCTTGCTAGTTGTAATGGTGTCTGGAACTGGAATTTTTGAGAGATGTATAGGTACTTTTCAGAAGGAAATCAACATAAATACTGGGTCAGAATGTGAGCTTGCCAGAATATGTTCTTATAACCTTTTCAAATACAGTTTTCCTGGCTGTTTTAGCAAACACATAGCATGTCAGGAATGGTAATATCAGCAGCATTTTTTCTGTGATTTTTATGTACATGAAGAAGCAAAAGAAAGTCTTGAATCTGTTACTCTCACGGTTATTTGTGGTTATCTTTAAGCTAGCATCACTTAATTTTCAAACAACTTAGCAAATGAAGATCCACATAAAAAGAGTTACTCAACACATTGATCAACATTTTTCTGTGGTGCTTCGCAAGAAGGTGAAGCAGCCTGTGAATTCCATGCTGCTGCAGCAAGGCTGCTCCTGGCTCTTCCACAAACGTGTGTAAAGCCAGCTGGGTATTTGTTCTCTCCCTGTCTCTGCTCTGGTCTTGATCCCAGCTGGGCAAGGTGGCTCTCAGAGGGGCTGCTCAGTCTTCCTCAAAAGCCCGTGGGGAACACTCACATTAGTTTTCTGAGTGATTTGGATTAAATTGTTAGATAGAGCTGGCTGTGTTCTAGTTTTGCTGTCAGAGTATTTAAAATTACTGGTTTATTATTTTTTTTCTGTATTTCTGGTTCTCTTCTAGCTGGTAGCCGCTCTAGTTCTCCGGGTAAGCTGTTAGGAAGCGCCTATGGTGGCCTGAGCGGGGGAACATCCAGAGTCCAGGCAGCGCCATCATCCTCGGAGAAGCGCAGCAAGATCCCTCGGAGCCAGGGATGCAGTCGAGAGACAAGTCCCAACAGAATAGGACTAGGTAAGAATAGTCACTGCAGTGACATGCTGGCTGGCGTGTTCGAAGGAGGGA